ACTTGTCTACAGTTACTAGAGTAACCCACTGGAGCCCCCACTGGAAAGAAATTTGGCCAAAGCAGATTTTGTGTGAATACTTAGAATTCCTATATGTGCCTAAGTGCCCTGCATCTCTCCTGGGATGTGACCCTTCTCTCTCACACTCAGGCCCACTGTTCAGTACTTGATATTGACACTGCCTGTACCCCAGGAGCAAAAATAGCACCCATATCTGCCTGAAATGTCTGATATTCATAACCCTGTAAATTTGGGAGATTGGTTTCCAGAAGTATGGACAAAGGACTCACCTCTGGGGCTTGCTATCAATCTTGCCTCTTTGGTGATTGAGCTCTGTCCCAAAGCAGCCCTAACCTGCACCATCAAACAGTATACCTCTCCTACCTGTAAACCAGCTTATGATGTCCAAGCTGCTAGTACTGCTTTGAATGCCCTCTGTGTACCTTGCTTCTGTCTTCTGCCATGCATAGCCTGCTTGTATACCTGCTTAGAACTAGAAAATGCCTTCTACTTTCAATCAGCTCCTGTCAGCCAACTCCTCTTTGCCTTTAAGTGGAATGACTACAGTTCTGGACTCAAAGTCAGTTGAGCCAGACTCAACCTCCTAGATGTTGAAAAACTTGTTCATGCACTTTGGAGAAGTGCTCACAGCTGACCTCATTAGTTTCTGAGCACAAAATATCACTGGATCTCAGATTACATCACCTGGTGAGGTTGTAATAGCTGACTGGGTTTGACCAAGTATACTCTATGATACTTGCACAATAATAAAATCAAACAACATATGTCTCACAATGTATCTCTATCATTAAGCAATGTGTGACTACATCCTATGGTGCTTCAGCTGTCTATTAATTATCTGCATCACCTCCACTGACTAGAAACTTTGGGAAGGCAGGGACTGCATCTTTCTTCTTTGAATATTAGGAACCCAGCACAGCTCTGGTACAAAATCTGTCCTTGATAATTAGTTGTTGCACATATGCATGCATGAATAAGCAATTAACAAGCAATTAAGATACCTCTCTGAAGTCTTCAGAATACTATAGTTTCTATCTCATCACCTTCACTCAATAAATATAACATGTAACAGTGACTTAGACTTGTTTGACATTAAAGTCACTAGAAAGTCCTTAGAAAGACAGTCTAAGCTCAGAACATGCTACAGAGAAGTTAAATCACAACATTTAGAAGACCAGGGATCAACGTTTTTTAAAGTTCCCCAGGGGAACCCAGTGTACAGACAGGACTGGAAAGCACTGGTTTACAGCTTTATTCTGAATCCAAGAGAAGTATGGAGAATATTGTAATTGCTCAGCTGTTGGGTATCTTGGTTATGTAGTTCTCACACAGTCTGGGGCCAGTCAAGTCAGAGAGCTGAAATAGGCTGCTTACAGTAATAGACAGAAGATTGGCAGTTGTTGCTTATTTGCAAAGGCCTCTTCAAAGCTCAGGTGATGATGAATTCTGGGTCAAAATTTTGTTTCTTTCTAGCACCAGCCAACATTAAGGAGAGGTGGCTGATACTCACCCTAAGCACATGTTAGGATTAGAGTTTAGTGAACTGTGATTGGATATGTTGTCCATCATTTTTAAAAATGATAATCATAGCTTTATAGATTTGGTAAGGGAATTAATATTTGCAATATTTTGGCACAAAGCATATACAATGAGTTACAACATCAACAAAAACAAGCAAAACCCCACAAGAAATAGTATTTCACCCATGCTTTCTTTCTCATATCTCCCTTCTGAGCCTCCTGTTCCTCCTCTGCTTCCAGTTTTCTCCTTTCCTTCCCTGTTAGGCTTTGTGGCTATAAGGCCTTAGTCACAATGACTCAACTCTGGTTGTAGTGCAAAAGGATTGATGGACAATATGTAAGTTAATGATGAAAGCTGTGTTCTAATGAAGCTTTATTTCCAAAGACAGGTGATGACCAGGTTCTCGACCCTTCCCTAAGACAACCAAATCTCATAGCACAGGTGTTACGGTTACTCTTAAAAAAGTCTATCTCTGGCCGGAGAGATGGCTCAGTGGAATAAGCGCTTCCCTGGCAAGCGCAAGTACCTGAGTTCAATCCCCGGTTCTGAAAAAAAAAAAAAAAAAAAAAGTCTATCTCTGCTTTTGGGTACCGTATACAGTCTCTAAACCATTGTGATATTTATCTCCTACAGAGTTGATCAGTTACACTTATTTCCATGCAGTGCAATTATCATATAATAAAAGTGAACTACAGGTATTGCAGCCTGTTTTTTTTTTTTTTTTTTTTTAAGAAAGCTATAAATAGTTGCTGCCAAATTGTTAGTATTTGTTTTTGAACTTCCTACATAACTAACGAATTGCTTTCTCCAGTAAAATTGTGGTCTATCTTTGACCTTAGTGTAATTATGATGCAATAGCAAACCAACACCCAAATGATGCCCAGAATTTGTAGGCAGATTTCTTTATGTCAATGGGCACTGATTTAGATCATCCTGAACACATCAGGCTCTGATCTCTGGTGGTCTAGGACTTCCACTGGGTAAACAAGCAGGAAGTACAGAGGCAAAATGGTTTGTCAATTGGGCATTAGTTTATACAGTGGGTATGATAGCAACTAGATATGTGTCACAGTGACCAGCTGTTTCTAAGAGACAGGAGCAACCTGATGTGAAACAGAAACTATTACTTGGGCAGCTAACAAACTAAAGTATACCAGCTGGGGGTGGGGGTATTACCTGTTACATTATCTTCCGCTTTTAGTTTACCCAGAAATCTTTGCTGGGCATGTTAGATGTGATCTTCTCAGAGAATGTCCAAATAGAATTTAGGCTTGTATCATCTGTGACATTTTTCTAGAAAGATAGTGAGGGACTTAATCTGATCTAGAAGAGTGTCCAATGTGTCTTGGATATGCATCAAATCTTGGTCAAGTGTTTGATTGATTGTTCTATTCTCTTGGGGTAATAGTTCATATAGTTTAAGGCAAAAAATACATCTAGCAAGGGACAGGGAAGCAAGGATTGGAATAATCAACCTTAAAAGATACAAAAATCAAGGGCCATAAGTATAGGACAATCCTGTCGACAATGTCTTCAGGCTTCAGTTATGTGTGGTATTGTCTTTTTAGAGCTGTCCAGGTAAATTGTTGATCAGATCTAAGGCTGGATTTTTGAAACTTGTAGAGGTAGTTATTATGTACCTGGGTTATAAGTATATGTAGGCATGTCTACAGGTATAGCTGATCTTTTAACTGTTTACAAGCTGTTTCTGTACAATCAATTTTATTTCTGTGTAATCTATTTATATATCTGTAAGTGGGGAGATTCCACTATAATACATGAGGATAATGTATTATATCAGGATGAGTGACACAGACACTGAAAGCCTGACATGGCTATGGTGTCAGTACTGCAGCTTGAGCTTGCAGAACAAACAGTGGGGGCTGGTCTGGTGCTGATCTTCTGGAAAACACTGGGTAAGGTTTTTCTGATTGGTTTTATGCTTTAGTCAATTGGATCCCTGGGGTGAAATCTTCCCTGCAAGAGAGATTTAGCCAAAATAGTTTTTTCCAAGGTGAGCACAGCATAGCCTGTCCGACTTCATTTCCATCCATAAACGGGGTGTACTCAGCATCAGTCGGGGGATCCTTTTGTTAGGACAGCACATCCCAGTATAGCATGTGGCACCTGCACAGTGAGGATTTGGTCTAAAGTGAGCTTGTCAGCTTTCTTGAGAAGGACAGTGGCTGTTAGAATATGGATGGAATATTCTTTTGGGAGGTTAGATGTGTTTCTTGTACACATATCATTGAATGTTGGTTCTTGATCCATTTTGCTTTTCTGTGTCTTTTAATTACCAAATCAAGAACATTCATATTGAGGTTATTATTGTGAAGTATTAATGTACTCCTGTCAGTGAATTATTTTCTTTTTTTTAAATCCCAGCTCTTGGGAGGCTATAAACAGTGAGATCACTACGTGTCTGATCTAGTAGTGAGACGCTAAACACCCTGTAGACCTTTCCCTAAAATAAAAAAAAAGATGGGAAATAACTAAGAAGAGTTGAAATGGACCTTTGACAATGGCCTCTATGGTAGGATAGGTAGGAAAGTGGACTGGATTCAGGTCAAGATTTAAAAGAGCATAGATGTACCTGGATAATAGGACAGAAGTATCTCCTGGTAGTCTCAAACTGTGAACAGAAATAAAGCAATTTTTGATGTTTAAAAAAATTCACTGTATAATTATTTTC